ACTATTCTGAAAGTACTTTAGCTCGTCATCTGGCACACGGCAAGATAGCAAAGTGATTAGGAGCTCCAGCTATGAAAAAAGATCAGCTGAGTGCCCTGATTTTGCCACTACCTCCCTAAGCTAACCATCTGCAAGTGGGCCCACTTCCGTACTTCTCTCTCCCCTTTAATACGAGCCAGTTTAAAAACAGTAACTTCTGCGCCAGTGCAATGGCTCAATGGCTAAATCCTCATCTTGTACGCTCTAGGATCCCATATGGCTGCTGGTTCATGTCTGAGCTGCTCTACTTCCTTTCCACCCCGCTAATTGTGGCCTAGAAAAGCAGCAGAGGATGGCCAAAGGCCTTGGGACTCTGCACCCGAGTGGCCAACACAGAGGAGGCTCCTGGCTTCAGATTGGTTCAGATCAACTCAGCTCCAGCCACTATGGCCACTTAGGGAGTAAGCCAGCAGATGGTAGACCTCTTCGTCTCCTTCTTTTCATAAGTCTGATCTGCCTTCCCAATAAAAATAAATGTTTTTAAAAAAATCATCCAGCACAATGGTTCAGTGGTTAAATCCTCACCTTGCATTTGTGCCAGTTTGTATCCCTACTGCTTCACTTCCCATCCAGCTCCCTACTTGTGGCCTGGGAAAGCAGTGAAGGATGGTCCAAAGCCTTGGGACCCTGCACCCACGTGGGAGACCCAGAGGAGGCTTCTGACTCCTGGCTTTGGATTGGCTCAGCTCCAGCCTTTGCAGATATTTTGGGGAATGAGCCAGTGGATAGAAGAGCTTCCTCTCTGTTAATACCTTCTCTCAGTAAATCTGCATTTCTAATAAAGATATGTGAATTTTTATTTTAAAAAATTACTTCCTCATAGGGCTGTCACCAGGATTTTGAGAGAACAGGCAAATAAGTAATGCATTTTTCAGGGCCAACATTTTGGTGCAGCAGATTACGCATCCTTTATCAAAATGGCAGGTGTTCCTCTTCTGACCCAGGTCCCTGTGAAGGTGCCTCACAAGGCATTGGAAACTGGTCCAAAAGCTTGGACCCCTGCCATCCACAAGAACAGAATAGAGTTCTTGCCTCCTGAACTTGGCCTGGCACAGGCTGTTAGATCCATTTGGGGGATAAACAAAAATAGACAAATCTTTCATGCTTATGAAAAGTCACTATTTTCAAAGAGTGCTAGCATACATAAACTCCTCTGTTCCTTATGAGCATACACTAGGGGCAGGGCACATTTGATGGACTGTCCACACCATCTTCTGCAGCGGGAGGAGCAGACGCAGGGCTTGCAGAAAGGAACCCACAGAAACAGTGCTGAACCCAGGACCGTGGTTCCCACTGCCTGGGCCTACAACCTCAGGTAACGCCCTTCATCAGACTGGAATTCGCCTTCCATCTGTCAACAAGTGGGCTGAATGAATCCATCTAAAACATCCCTCTAAACACGATGCAAGCTTCCTGTCATGGCCTACACGGAAGCTAACATTGTCCGTCATCTCTACCCACACTTCTGACTCTGTCTCCAGCTGTCCCCTGCTCGTTCAGGTCCTGCTCCATTGCCCATCTGTCCCGACCAGGCTGCACACAGCCTCTGTACACACTTGCCATGCCCTCTGCCTCCAGCATTCAGTTCATACCCACGCCTGGCTTCTCCTCAGCCTGCATTCCTTAACATCAGTTCTTCAGTCTTCCCTTGACCATATCATCTAAAGGAATAAATCTTGTCCTTACCCCCAAGGGTTATTTCCTATAACACTACTGTCCAAAAAAATAAAAAGATAGGCACAAACGAGCCTCGTTTTTCATTTTAAATTTCCAGTAGTCATATATCATGAAAGTTAGTCTGTTTTGTTTAGGATTTATTTTTATTGGAAGGGCAGATTTATTGGGAGAAGGAGACACAGAAAGATCTTCTGTCTGCTGGTTCACTCCCCAGATGGCCATATCAGTTGTAGCTGAACTCATTTGAAGCCAGGAGCCAGGAGCTTCTGCCGGGTCTCCCACACGGGCGCAGGGTTCTAAGGCTTTGGGTTATTCTCAACTGCTTTCCTAAGCCATAAGCAAGAAACTGGCAGGGACATGAACCAGTGCCCATATGGGATCCATGTGTTTGCAAGAAGAGGATTCACCTTTGAGCCATCAGGCCAGGCCCAAAAGTTTTTTAAAAGTGTTATTTAGTTTAGTAATTTTTCTCTAAAGACTTTATTCTTTTTTATTGGAAAGGCAGAGTTAAGCTAATCCAAAGCCAGGGACCAAGAACTTCCTCTTCCAGGTATCCCACGCAAGTGCAGGGTCCCAAGGCTTTGGCCCATCCTCTACTGGCTTTCTCAGGCCAGAGCAGGGAGCTGGATGGCAACCAGGACTGCCAGGACACAAACCAGTGCCCACATGGGATCCTGGCACATGCAAGGCAAGGACTTTAGCCACTAGGCTACCACACCAGGTTTATTTAGTTTAGTAATTTTATAAAGCATTTATTTATTTATTTGCTTGCTTATTTATTTAGTTGGAAGGCAGCGAGGGAAAAGGAAAGAGTGGTCCACCATTTACCGATTCACTTCCAAATGGCCACAACCACCCAGGTCTGGGTCAGGCCTCACCAGGGGGAACCAGAACTCCAACCTAGGGTCCCACATGGGTGACAGGGATTCAAATACTCTGGGCATCGTTCACTGCTTTCCCAGGCACATGGACAGGAAACTCACTCAGAAGCAGAGCAGCTGCAACTTGAACCAATGCACCAATGTAGAACACTGGCGCTGCAAGCAATGACACACACCAGCCCCAATGACATTTTTCATTAACCCAATTTCAATATGGGGTCAACATAAAACCCAAGATACTTCAAACTCATTTTTCACATACTAACTCCTTGAAATTCAGTTGTGTTTCAATCCAGACTAGCCATGTTCCAACTGCCCAGCACTGTGATCAATTCATCGCAAGGCACTTCTCAGGGCCGGAGTTTCTCACTTGCTTACGTACCCACTATCCTGACTCCCCGACCAGACTTGCCTTTCAGAAGGCAAGAACCTCTGGTCGTTGGGGTCACTTGGGGAGTGAATCATCGGACAGAAGATTTTCCTGCCTCTCTTCCTCTTTGTATATCTAACTTTAAAATAAAAATAAAATAAATCTTAAAAAAAAAAAGGATGCATGCCCATGTGACCCACTGATTACAGTGAGGATGGTCAAGGAACGGGAGAAAGTGAATGAGATAACTGTCTACAATCTCCTTTTTTTCTTCTAGTATCTGGGGGAAGTGGAGAGAGAAGGGGAAGGGCCGCTACCAGCAGCCCAACCACATCAGTACCCAAGGACAGGGGATGGCCACCCAACGTTATCCCAGGGTGCCCGAGATGGAGCATGCTCTAAGCGTACTGTTTCAGTGGTTTCTATAGTTCTGAGATGCTGCTGATTTCATTCTTCAAGGTTGAGAAAAGCCTTCCAAGGTCCATTTGCTGACACAGTCCACCTTAGAGTCTCTCTTCACCCAGATACTCGCTGTCAAAGCTTGACCAGGAGAGCTGCCCATGGAACTAGAAGTCCTCTGCAGGCTTCAATGAACTGGTTGTCATGTCCCCCATGTGCATCTGGGCATTCAATCCATTGTACAAGCCTAATCAACTGTGAAGACACAGTACTGACACACGCTCCACACAGCCAGGCCACAGATCCTGCAATTTTCACCACGGTTGGGAGTTCTGATCAAGTTGGGAGGGTCACACTGTGAGCCCAACCTGACTCCCGTGTGTGCCAGCCAGGGTGGGGTCCAGTTTAGTCCATCACCCATCAGCCTACACACACACTGGTGGCTGCAGTCACCTGGTCAGTTCTGTCCCCAGTTCCGTCTCATACTCAAACCAACGGATGCTGCTTCTCTGCCCAACCCTGCCCACCCTACACAGGCCTGCCCCCAGCCAGGGTTCCTATGCATGCCAGTATGTGCAGCAGACTTGTCCAGTCTGTCCCACATCCCATTTGGCCCATCAGAGGGGTACCCACAATTTCCCTACTAGGCCCACTCACAGCCCCGGATCTGGCACTTTCCAGATGGTCTTATGGTCCAGCTTCACAGGTCTTGCCCCTGCTCTGCCTTTCAAATAAATCAATAAGTATTTTACAAAGTCAACAGAAACAGGTAACATTTGGTTCTAGATGTATTGTATGTCACCTTTCTTCAAAGCAGGACCATTCCATCAATGTGATCAATACCTAATGTGGCTGCATTTGGCATGACCATAAAATTCCACAGAAACATTTTTTTTTTCTGAGTTTTCAGAATCCTGCACGATCTCAAACCCACAGCACTCTGGACTCTGACTAGCCCCAGCTGTAGGGCTTAGCAACAATGAGCGGCTGCAGACCACACAGACACCGGGCAGTGCCCTTCAACTGCCTCTCACTCCCAGCCTCCTCAGAGGGAGTCAAACAGGAAAGGAAACTTTAGGCTAAAGTCAGGACACCTGAGCTCGGACCCCAGCTCTTCCTGGGCCTTGTGGGCCTCTCGTTTTCCCCGACAAGTATCCCATGTAAAGGGAACAAGAGGGTGCCCTGGGTCCCAGGCCATGGGTGAGCTCCGAGCATCTCCCTACAGCTGCAGCGAGCACAGCTTCCCACGCTCTAATAGCAGCCTGCACGCTCCCCAGATCCCTAAGCGGCACCAATGTCTCCACTGTACAGACACCAAAACTGAGGCTCCCAGAACAGATTCGGCGACACGGCGGGGGCGGGAAAGCAGCTGGGAGGGAAGGATGGTGAGCCTGGTCCCAGCATGGGCTGAGAGGAGGCGAAGGGGAGCACGCATGGAGGATGAATAGGAAAGGACCAGTCGAGTTTGCAGGAGGGAAGTGAAATGAGGGGTCAGAGCTCCGGGTGTCAGGAGAAGTCGGGGGTAGGGTGCGGGGGCCCAGAATGAGATGAGAGAATGTGAGAGGAAGGGACGAGAGCTCGCTGATCTCTGTCCGTCTGAGGAGCAGCCAGCAGTTCTTCCCCGGCCCTCATACCTGGTAGCTCAGAAGTTCGCCCACGTCCATGGTTGCTGCTCCTAGTACCACTCGAGCCGCCGGTTCTCTCCACTCAAACCCGCACCACGGGCCGCCCAGACGCTCCTCCAGCCACACTGCCGAAAAGCGTCCTGTGCCGGGCCGCAGAGCCAATAGGGTAAACGCGCTTGAGACAGGCGAGCCGCCACACTGCGGTAAAAAGGCAGAGCTACCGTAAAGCGCGCCGCACCGATGCCTACTGCTTCCGCCTGGAGCCTGAAGGGGGTGGGAAAAGGGGCGGAGACTCGGAGGAGGAAGGCGCGGTGAGAGCCAGGGAGCTGGCGGAACCTGGGGTTATGGCGCGTGGCCCAAGTGTGGGGTCGTGAGCTGGGGGGCTTCCTGGGTACTCCCACGCGTCTGGAGGGGACCAGGCGATTTGATTGAGATGCCTTAAGCATCAATAAAATGCAAACGGGATGTCCGAGACTTGACACGGATATGTTGAAATAGCATTGTAGAATATATTAGGTCAAGTGAAGTGTGAAAAAACGGGATATGTTTTGACTCCTTCAGTGTGCCTAGAAGATCTTTCATTCCATCTATGGGTCTCATGGGTTATCCCCACCGTTTTTCCGTTGAATGGGGCTAGCCCAAAAGGTGGCTCGTCGTCTGGGGCATGCGGCTGTGACCACAGAGCCACAGCTGATGGCCCAGGTTGTTCTCAGAGCTTGCGTCTGTTTGCACCAGGTGGTAACTGATGCACACCAGTGTATCTCATGCTGCAAGACGTGCCCTTCACATTCATGTTTAGAATCCCATCTCCACCAGCTCCAATGAAACCAAAATTGGTTTTATTCCTCGAATCCTCTCCTGGTAGCACTATGCCTCACCTAGCTCTCTCTTGCCCTTCTGTTCTCAAATGTTTTCTTCTAAAAGTGGCAGCCTCAACTCACACCACTCCACGCGAGCGAGGGCTCCTCCTAGGTCTCCACCGCAGAGTCTGTCTCCGATCTGTAATCTTGCACTCCATTTCCTGGAGTGAAGGCTTTGTGACAGCAGGAGCTGTGTGCATCCTAGTTTCCATGAATCTCCATGCCTCTCCAAAGCCCAGGATAACACCTGCCTCACAGGGTCTCGGGAGCCTTAGGAACAATTCTGGAAACTGTTGGGAGTTTTGTGATTGAGTTTGTAATTTAGGATCATCTATACAGTGTCTGCTTAGAACTGAGTTTGCTTTGGCTGCCCTTTCTCTTATGTGGGATAGAATGAAATGCGTGGACATGAACCCTGGTCTGATGTGCTGGAACCAGCTTAGATGCACAGGCTTGGAAAAAACCTGTGGCTGTATGTCCAGGAAGCTTGCAGATGGATTAAGATCAGGTTGGTAGTTTGAAATCACTGGCATGAGCCTGGCACAGTAGCCTAGTGTCTAAATTCTCACCTTGAATACGCCCATATCCCTTTTGGGTGCCAGTTTGTGTCCTGGCTGCCCCGCTTCCCATACAGCTTCCTGCATGTGGCCTGGGAAAGCAGTCACAGATGGCCCAAAGCCTTGGGACCCTGTATCCATGTGAGAGACCCAGAAGAAGCTCCAGGCTTCCAATTGGTTCAAATCCAACATGGTGGCCACTGGGGAGTGAATCAGGGGATGGAAGATCTTCCTCTCTGCCTCACCTCACTGGCATGAGTGTTTGCATCAATCAGGGAATGTTGCCCATTAGGGTGACTGCTGCCGCTGTTGCCTTCTCAGAGAGCTGGTTGTTAAACACCTTAAAACACACCGCTACTTCTGGTTCCAGTCCACGTTTTGCTACATCTAGCTGTATGCCCTGAGGCCAGCTCCTTTCTCTCTTTAAATTGCACTTTCTCGAATTTGGAGAGTCATTCATTCATCCAATACGTGTTTAGCGAGAGCTACTCAGTGCCAGACGGGGTCCTGGGCTCCCAGGACAGATCTGTTTATAAAACAGGGTTCCTGCCTTTGAGGGAGCTGCATTCAGCTTTGGGTGGTGACAGTGGCAAGCGACTTCCCCCCATCACATGGTAGGCGAGAGGACATTCAGCAGTATCTGTCTCATAAACAATGGAGGGCTTCCTTGTGAGGCTACACACAAAGCACTTAGTAAGGTGCCTGGCTTAGAAAACACTCAGTGTTTGATGTGACTATCAGCAGCAGTTGAGGAGGGATGGGACAGGAGAGAAGACAGGAGGGATGCAGGCACTCTTTATTCTTTTTCCTTTTCTGAAATTGAATCTTATATATGCATTTTTAAAAGCTTTATCTATTTGAGGGCATGGCGTGAGGCCTAGTGGCTGAAGTCCTCACCTTCCATGTGTGCCACTTGATATTCCCACTGCTCCACTTCCCATCCAGCTCCCTACTTGTGGCCTGGGAAAGCAGTAGAGGATGGCCCAAAGCCTTGCAACCTTGCACTAACCTGAAAGACCTGGAAGAAGCTCCTGACTCCTGGCTTTGGATTAACTCAGCTCTGGCCATTGAAGCCACTTGAGGAGTGAACCAGCAGATGGAAGATCTTTGTCTCTCCTTCTCTCTGTAGATCTGACTTTCCAATCAAAATAAATACAACTTTAAAAATAAATACATTAATTTTTTTTTTATTATTTGAAAGACAAAGTGACAAAAAGAGACTGACAGAGAGAGATCTTCCATCTGCTGGTTTATCCTGCAAATTGCCTCAATGTCTGAGACTGGACCAAACCAAAGCCAGGAGATAAAGCTCCATCCAGTCTCCCACATGCGTAGTAAGGCCATCTTGTACTGCTTTCCCAGGTACATTAGCAGGAAACTGGATTGGAAGCTGAGTAGCTAGGATTTGAACCAGAAAATGTAGGTGCCTAAAATAGCAGCTTAAGCTGTTACCCCCTGTGGCTTTTTAAAGAAAGCAGGCTTTGAGAGATAGAGTTATAAAGCCAAATACAGTGAGAACCAGGGTTGGTGAGCACCCTGGAAAGAGAAAAATGTGCCCTGCCAAAGCAGGGTGGCCAGAGGAGGTGCCCTGTACCAGGGGAGAGAGGGTGGGAAGAGTTTGTCAAGAGGACATGGGAATAGGATGGTGACCCAGGCAGGAAAACAGCACAGAGATGTGGGAGGGGTGCTGTTGCTTGTAGATAGGCTGTAGGTGGGTGGAGGAATTAGGGTAAGTGGGCAAGAGAGGGCCGCTGGAAGACCATGGATAGGGTAGCAGATTCACCTAACAGTCCAGGACATCCAGTTCAATCTGCACTTCAGGTCAACAATGGATTTTTTAGCATAAATACATCCCATGTAATTTTTTTTAAAAGATCAATTTAGTTATTTGAAAATCAGAGTTAGAGAGTAAGAGAGTCAAAGAAAGAGATCTTCCATCTGCTGGTTCACATCCCCAAAAGCCACAACGGCCAGCACTGAGCCAAAAGCCAAGAGCTTCATTCTGGTCTCCCACATGAATAGCAGGGACCCAAACACTCGGACCCTCCTTCCTGCTTTTCCCAGGTGCATTAGCAGGGAGCTGGGGCAGAAGGGGAGCAGCTGAGACACAAACCAGCACCCATTTGGGATGCTGGAATCACAGGCAGTGGCTTTGCCCACTGTGCCACAACAGCCCTAGGCCACCTAATATTTATAGCATATTAAAAACTTTTTGTTGTTTCTATGAAATTTAGATTTAAAGGGGCACCAGGTTTTGTTACCTGACATGCCTAATCATGCAGGTTTCAAAAACTGTATTTGTATTAAGAGATTTCGGTCTTATCTTGATGAGGGAATCCATTAATCACTCTTTAGAAACCTCCCCCATGGTAAGGCTTAGAGCACTCACCCTTCAGGTGTTGGCTTAATGTCACCACATCACATGTAGTAGGTGAAGGACTGGCTCATGCATTACTGACCATACTGTTAACAGCCTACTGATTGGTTCATTGATTCCTGGTCATAATGTTATCAGCCAACTGATTGGTTCATTCATTCCTAGCCATAACATTATCCAATGCCTTCACATTTCCATATTAAATCCTAAAAATGTGACTCCCCAAATGCTAATGATAAAAAAAAAATGTAGGTGCAAAGATCTGTGTTTGGTTTCCCCCAGCCAGCAGAAGTGACAACAATGGCTTCGGAATGACACCCTAGGGTGGCAGAGAAGAGAAACGACCCAGGAGGTCAGTTTTGGAGTGTCCCCTTCCTAATTTTTTTTTATTTTAGTTGACTCTTTCAAATTTTATTTTCATTTTATTTGAAAAAGAGAGAAGTGAGCTGATGCACTCCTCAGACAGCTGCCACAGCTAGGGCTGGAGGCCAGAACATCGTCTCGGCATTTCACGCAGACTGCAGAGACCCAGCTACTTGAGTCATGTTCTTTGGCCTTCCTAGATCCAAAGTGGAGGAGCTGGGACTGGAACTGTGCACTTCTGCCTGGGATACAGGCATCCTAAGCAGGAACTTACCCACCAAGCCAGGTGTCTGCCCCTGTAGCCTTTCTAAAAGACATCATATGGAATTACCCCTCCCCGAAGGTTTTTAAATAACAGCGGACTGCTTCATGTCAAGCCTTAGGTGTTCCAAGATGAGATCAGAGTCACGTTCTCCTGCTTTTATTGCCCCAGTAAATTATTTATTGGAAAAGCTTTTATGAAAATATCATCCAAAAAAAAAAACCTTCTTAAAGAATGAGGATATTTATCACAGTCACTGAGTTCCCATCAGGCAATTTGGGCTGATATGAAATATACAACCCTGCCAGTGAAATTCTGACTCCTCATTGTAGGGCTTGTGTGCAGAGGGTAGTTGCAGAGTGAGTGGTGGAAAGGGATGTGTGTTTTCTGGGGAGCAAAATGTAATTTCTCAGAGTCAGGAAGAGTCTTTGATCCCTCTGTCTCTGGTTTCCAAAATCAAGGACACGGATTCTCTGGCTTTAGTGTCTTTAAATAGTTGTGAAAGCTGAGCTGGAGACACTGGGTTTAGAAACAGGCTCACAAACAGCAGCTGGCGAGACTCTTACCCAAGGCTTCTTGTATTTCTAGCTCACAGCCAGGAACTGAGCTCGGTGACCCCTTTAACTCATGACAACACGTGATCCAGGCACAGGAGATTACTGAATGCTAGAGTAAATGTACCTGCAGGCTC